GCGTGGGTTCAGTTCCCACTAAGAGCACATGCCTCAGTCGCAGTTTGTTCCCGGCCCTGGTTGGGTTGTGCGGGTAGCAACTATTCAATGTGTCCCTTTCACGTTGATGTTTCTCTCTCTCTCTCTCTCTCTCTCCCTCCCACTCTATCTGAACAAAAAATGGAAAAATGTCCTCGGGTGAGGATTAAAAAAAAAAATCTTTTGGAGAACTTCAAAGGAGAAATCAACAGCAATACAATCATAGCAGGGGACTTCAACACCCTGCTGACATCACCGGATATAACTAGACAAAAAATTAACAAGGAAATACAGACTCTAAATGAAAGAGGAGAAGTAACAACTGACACCACAGGTATACAAAAGATCATTAACAACTACTATGAACACTTATATGGCAACAAATTCGACAACCTAAGAGAAATGGACAAATTTCTAGAAACACACAGTCTCCCAAAACTGGACTGGGAAGAGATAGAAAACTTGAACAGACCAGTAACAACTAAGGAAATTGAAGAGATAATCAAGACTCTCCCAGTAAACAAAACCCCAGGCCTGGATGGCTTCATGGGGGAGTTTTACCAAAAATTCAAAAAAGAACTAACACCCATTCTCCTCAAACTATTTCAAAAAATTCAAGAAGGAAGACTTCCAAACTCATTTTATGAGGCCAGCATAATTCTAATTCCAAAACCAGAAAAAGACACTACAAAGAAAGAAAACTACATGCCAATATCCCTGATGAACACAGATGCTAGAATCCTGAACAAAATACTAGGAAATCAAATTCCGTAATACATCAAAAAAATTATTCACCATGACCAAGTGGGATTCATCCCAGGGATGCAAGGCTGGTACAATAATCGCAAATCAATAAATGTGATGCACCACATAAATAAAACAAAGAATAAAAACCATATGATCAAATCAATAGATGCTGAAAAAGCATTTGACAAAATCTAGCATCCATTTCTGATAAAAATGCTCAGCAATGTGGGAATAGAGGGATCATATCTCGACATAATAAAGGACACACATGAAAGCTCTATAGCCAACATCATACTCAATGGGCAGAAACTAAAAGCATTTCCCTTAAGAACAGGAACAAGACAGGAATACCCACTTTCGCCACTCTTATTTAACATAGTACTGGAAGTCTTCGCCACAGCAATCAGACAGAAAGAAAAAATAAAAGGGATCCAAATTGGAAAAAAGGAAGTGACACTGTCATTATTTGCAGATGACATGATATTATACATAGAAAACCCTAAAGACTCCATCAAAAATCTACTAGACTTAATAAATGAATTTGGAAAAGTAGCAGGATACAAAATTAATGTCAAGAAATCAACGGCATTCCTACACCAATGATGAACTCACAGAAAGAGAAACTGAAAAAACAATCCCATGTACCATCATGGCAAAAAAAAAATTAAGATACTCAGGAATAAACTTAACCACTGGACCTATTTGAAGAAAACTACAGAACATTGAAAAAAGAAATAGAGGAAGATATAAAAAATTGGAAGCACATACCTTGTTCATGGACTGGAAGAATTAACATCATTAAAATGTCCATATTACCCAAAGTAATCTATAAATTCAATGCAATCCCCATCAAAATACAAATGATATATTTCACAGAACTAGAATAAATACTTCAAAAGTTCCTATGAAACCAAAAAAGACCCCGAATAGCCACAGCCATCTTGGAAAAGAAAGACAAAGTAGGTGGGATCACAATACCAGATAACAGATTATACTACAAAACTACCGTAATCAAAACAGCCTGGTACTGGCACAAGAACAGGCATATAGACCAGTGGAACAGAACAGATGACCCACAAATGGACCCGAGACATTATGCTCAATTAATATTTGACAAAAAAGGCAAGACCATATAATGGAGTAAAGACAGCCTCTTTAATAAATGGTGTGGGCAAAATTGGACAGCTACATGTAAAAAAAAATGAAATTAGATCATCAACTTACACCACACACAAAAATTAACTCAAAATGAATAAAAGACTTAAATGTGACCCGTGAATCCATAAAAATTCTAGACAAAAATATAGGCAACAAAATTCCAGACATCATACGCAGCAGAATTTTCAGTGATACATCACCTAAGGCAACAGAAACAAAGGAAAAAATGAACACATGGGACTACATCAAACTCAAAAGCTTCTATACAGCAAAAGAAACAACCATCAAAATGAAAAGGCAACCCACTGTATGGGAGAGCATCACTGACAATGATACATCAGATAAGGGGTGAATTTCCAAAATATATAGAGTGCTCATACAACTCAACAAAAGGAAGAAAAAGAATCCAAGTAAAAAATGGGCAGAGGAGCTGAATAGACACCTTTCCAAACAGGACATACAAATGGCCAACAGACATATGAAGAAATGCTCAACATCACTACTCATCAGAGAGATGCAAATTAAAACAATGCGGTATCACCTCATACCTGTCAGAATGGCCACTATCAACAAATCATCAAACAACAAGTGTTGGTGAGGGTGTGGAGAAAAGGGGACTCTAGTACACTGCTGGTGGGAATGCAGACTGGTGCAGCCACTATGGAAAACAATATGGTGTTACCTCAAAAAATTAAAAATTGAACTGCCATTTGACCCAGTGATCCCACTTCTAGGAATATACCCTAAGAAGCCTGAAACACCAATCAGAAAGAATATATGTACCCCCATATTCATAGCAGCACTATTTACAATAGCTAAGATCTGGAAACAGCCCAAGTGTCCATCAGTACACGAATGGATAAAAAAGCAGTGGTACATATACACAATGGAGTACTATGCAGCTGTAAGAAAGAAAGATCTCTTATCCTTTGAGACGACATGGAGGGACCTGGAAACTACTATCCTAAGCGAGACAAGCCAAGCAGAAAAAGACAAATACCACATGATCTCACTTATTTGTGGAATAAAATAAACATAACAGTCTGAGGAATAGGGTAGACCCAGAGACGTGAAAGTAGGAACAGACTGACGAACCTCGGAAGAGAAGGTGGTGGGGGAGGGAAGAGATAAACCACAGAACTTATATGCATGTATGCATAACCAATGGACATGGACAACAAAGCTGGGGACCGGGTTGGGGGGATGGGGACGAGAGTGTCAATGGGGTAAAAAAGGAGAAACATCTGTAACAAAAATAAAATTAAAAAAATAAATTAATTAATTTTTTAAAAATGGGGGAATTATAACATGTACAATGTTTACTCATGTATACAGGAAGGACAAACCAGAAAGCAATGAAAGTGGTAACCTATGGGGTGGGGGTGAGAGTGAAAGAGATGGTCCTGATTAAACCCTTATATAGTTTGACTTTTTGAAGTATATTAATATTCCACATATCAAATTAAAGTTAATCAACAAGGATGGGGGGAAAAGCTTAAAACTAAAAGCACACTGAAACAAATGAACTCAACTGTAATTGAAATGAATAGAATAACCTCACTGAAAGGGAGGATAAAATAACTAATCCAAGTAATTTCCGAGGGCAGGGGAGGGGAAGATAAAGGACTGGAAACAATCCTGAACTCTCCTTAATAGGCTGGGGTTTGTTTGTTTGTTTTTTGTGAAGAGGGATGCAGAGATAATAGTATGAATATGGCATTTTTCAAATTATTTTAGATATATTATAGGATTAAGCAAATGAAGAGATGTTTTCTGTTAGGAGCCAGGATTCTAACTGTAGAAGATAGGACAGAGTAACACAGAGGAGGAAAAGGCAAAGGAGGGAATGAACTGAAAGCACTGGTGTGGGCTCATGATTATAAGTGTGTGTGTGTGTTTATTTCCTAGCTCTGTTACTGAAAAGGCTAAGAAGTGAAGACACTCTTGCAGCAATAAGCATAACTAGCACCCAGAGCCCATCAAAGGAACCAGAGCTCCTTTGACAGACAGCTCACTTCAGGGCTACAGCAGGGAAATCACATCAAGAGGATCTGGAATAATTTTTTGGGATAAATAATGAGATACTCAAAATAATGACAGGAATATATCAAAAGGGCACAAGAGGTAGCCAAAAGGGGCTCTCAAGGGCCAAATTTGGAACAACCTAAATAAAAGGGAAAAAAAAACGCATTACAAGTCATCAGAAAAATACAATCTGATTTCATACTAATTACGCATAGATCAATACATGGGACAGGGAGTGCAGAGGGCCAAAGCTGTTCGTGGAAGGAGTGCCAGAGCTGGACAGTTACCACAGTAAAGACTGGTTTGAGAAGATCCAACAATGGATACTACATTTAGTATGGACATTTTGATGTTAGGCTATTTATATGATTTTAAGGAGTCTCCCCATAAACTGCTTACAAGAGGAAAAATAATTATACCGTGGATAAACTGAACAACATTTTAACTGAATGATTAAAATCAACATCACCAATGACAGGCAGGCAGACAAAGGTGACTATGAATGTGCTACCCTGAGAAGGACACAGCTTCACTTATATAGTATTCTGACCAGGAGGGCATACCCTGAACCTAATCATAAGGAAGCATCAGACAAGCCAATATGAAGAACATTCAAATAATATAAGGGGTTAAGGGGCTCTATTCCCCACCAATATGTCAATGCCATAATAGATGAAAAAGGTCTGAGAAGCTTTCTAGATCAAAGAAGAGTCAAGCCACATATGGTAGATTAAAATGTTGTATCAGTATTAAATTTTCTGAGTTTGACATCTGTCTTGTGGGTACTAAGAAAATGCCCTTGTTCTTAGTGAAAACACACGTAAGTCTTTAGGGGTAAAAGCACATGATGAATTCAATTTTCATTCAAATGGTTCAGGAAAAAAAATATGTATACAAAGAGAACCAATGAAAAAGCAAATGAGGTAAAATGTTAACAACATATCCATATCCTACAGTAAAGGATATGGAAATTCTTTGTACAATTCTTGCAAATTCTCTGTAAACTTACAAGTATTTCCACATAAAAAAACTTAAAAAAAAAAACAACTTACATTTCTCAGTGCTTCATAAATAGCTCTAAATGCTGGTTGCTTATCATCATGGTAAACACCTCTGTTCCCATGAAGAATAAAGATTCCTTCTTCTTCTGCTTCTTGGCAATTGCTTCCATATATACAATGATCCGGTCGATAATTCCATTGACACGAAAAAACAAAAAGGCTTTCTATGTGAGGAAAGACAAAATAATTAAGCAAATAATCCTAATTCCACAGAATTACAATTTGCAAAACTTCTGGTTTAAAAATATAGCCCTTACAGAGTAAAATTTAAAATAGTAAAAAATATGCTTGGCATTTAGATGTCTTCCTACTAAATCCATACTCAAGAAAAGTTTTATTCTGTCTTTAACATAAATAGTGATTAATCATTAATATAAGCCAAAATCAAATAAATGCATTTCTTCATTTTGACTAAATAGTATATATTTTTACAAAGGCAAAGAATTAAAGAAATTAAATGATTACCTGGATTATGAAAAAATATGATATTCAACAGATCTTGATCACCCCATGTGATATTCAGTTTGTATTTTTTGAGCAATGGCATAAGCATATCTCCCCATCGCAATCGTACAGTTGTCATATCATTCTGTAGGTAAACACAGTAAAAAGATCCTAAGGCTTCCAGGTTCAAAATGGTAGCATGATGACAATTCCCCATTCTTCCCTTAGCAATCATTACAGAACAAGAAATATAAACTTCTTTTGTTACAAAACCCAGTGATGCTAATCTAATGTAAACCTTATGTGAGTAAGGCTGTCCAGCTGGAGGGTGTGGAAATAACAAAAGAAGCTATCTGAAACTGCATGTAGAAGTGATAATACTAATAAAGTTAGGAAAGAAATGAAAAAAGAAAGTAGGCAATAGTCTAAGTCCTATGACTGTGGCCTCATCTTAAAATGCAGAGCATTTTAGTACCTATGTTTATGTCATACAGTTGTTGAGGATTAAACCTGTTACTATATAATTAAAAAGTATTTGGAACAGTACCTGACACATGGTACATATGTAGTTAGCTATTACTACTGTTGTCACGATCACTATTATTCTTAGACTGATTTGCTAATCTTTTATAATTGGCATTTCGAAGAGAGCATTCAAAATTGATATTATCAATTTCATCAGTTTTTTTCAGCCTCATAGCTCATTATTTTATCTTTTTTATTTTTTTTATCCTCACCCAGGGACATTTTTGCATTTTATCTTGAGACAGAGCAGGAGGGTAAGAGGAAGGAAGAGAGAGAGAAACATTGATGTGAGAGAGACACATTGAGTGGCTGCCACTCACACGACCCCAACCAGGGCCAGGGACAAACCACAACCAAGGTCCGTGCCTTTAGCGGGAACTGAACCTGGGACTCTCCGGTCCGTGGGCTGATGCTCTAACCACTGAGCAAAACCGGCCAGGGCATAGTTCATTATTTTAAAACCCAAAGTCAAGAGGGCTTCAGATCATATGAATATGGGGTGTGAAGGGATGCAGTGAATAGTAAGCATCTTATACCTATTTGACTTTCTTAAACTCTCCAGACTTAAACCAGTGTTCCTCCAAGTGCAATTTACAGCGTGCCGATCAGTGACATTTTTGTGCCCTTTACTAGACCGAGTACAGAAATTTAAAGATTTAGAAACTTTTATAGCAATTTAATAATAATTTTATGTCTACTTAATTTAATATTTTTAGTAAATTATTTACATCATTTTAAGACAAGTGCTGGCTCATGACAGACTATAAATTTTTTTTAAAAAATTGATCTCTCAAAAGTTTAAAAAACATCGTTGTAAGCTATTCTAGGATATATATAAACTCAGTGGAGTTATAAACAATCTATCCTTAAAGAAAGAGAAATAAAAGCTAGAATTCCTGAAAAAATACACATACATAAACTAAATATGATCTTCTATAATTATATTACCTTTGTGTGAAGTTTGGCAGAAAGCAGTAATCATGGTAATTATACAATAATCAAAAGTCCCTCTCAAAAAATCTCGGAAATGACTGAAACTAGCTTTACTTAAGGAAATAAGAAAATACTTTACTGAAACAATTACTCTGAAATAAGTCACAAAGCAGGTTAACAAGATGTTTTTAGGATCTGAAAAGGAAAATATGAATTGCACGAGGACAAAGACCAACAACATATTTAATAAACAGGACTGGCGGACCCGCTGTACCAAGCCATGTTCAAGTCTTCACTGGGTTCAATCAATTCAAATACAGCCAGATACACACACACACACACACACACACACACACACACACACACAAATATATCTATTCAAAAAAAAATTCAATGAAAGATATATTACAAGATCCAGTGTAGTCTTCAGGAAAAAAATAAAGATCATAGAGGGGAACAAAACCTTTATAACTTAAAGGAAAATCCCACTAGAAAAATACTGGACAAGAAGCACGAACACTAATATTATTTGCTGACATAACCTAGAATATTCAAGACAAACAATGAAAAAACAGTAAGAAATGAGTTTAATATAAAAGCATTATATATAAAGGAGTTCAAATCAACAGAATTAGAAAAATAATCAATTAAAAAACAGTCCAAAGATATGGAGAAACAGCCATTCACAAAGTGAAAAAGAAACGGCTAAAAATTATGTAAAAAGATTTTTATCCACACTAGTAGCAGAGTCAGAAAAATACAAATTAAAACATATGAGATATTTTTCAGCATGTGTATCAGTTTCAAATTACATTTTTTAACAGATCTGAAGAAAATGGTCCATAGCAAAGTTTATGTCATTTGGGCAAAGAAATTAAACTGGGGACAGTGTGTGTAAAGGGGGGACTTGTTTTTTGACTCTACATACAATGAATTGTTTAAAGTTTTATAAGCATAATTTAGTTTTGTCATTGAAAAGAACTCAGTAGTTACCTGGCCGGTGTGGCTCAGTGGGTGAGCACTGACCCATGCACCAAGAGGTCACAGGTTCAATTCTCAGTCAGGGCACATGGCCAGGTTGCAGGTTCGATCCCCAGTAGGGGGCATGCAGGAGGCAGCCGATTGATGTTTCTCTCTCATCGATGCTTCTATTCCCTCTCCCTTTCCCTCTCTAAAAATCAATAAAACATTTTTTTAAATTAAAAACACAGAGGTTGGCAAAAGTAGGTTTACAGTTGTGAGTACATGAAACACAGAATTTATTCTTTTTTTCCCCCTTTTATTGATTTTAGATAGAGAAATCATTATCCTAAGTGGGTAGTCTTATAGCTTTGCACGTGATAAGCTATTCTCTGACAGCATTCAGAGATCTGTATGAAACAGTTTGTCATTACAAGTAATTCAGTTATATTACTAGAGCTCTAAAATTTAATATCTGTCCCAGAAATTGCAGAATTAGGGAAAAAACAAGGCAACATTTGCTACAGGTATATAGCCTGGAAAGCAATCAGGAAAACAAAAAAAGATTATGAAAAAGGACTTAAAACTCAATAAATTTTGTAGAAGTATCTCAGCAATTGTAAATGTAATAATATTGGGGGGAAAAAAGCAATTGTTCCCACTGAGCAAGAATAGGGTTGTCTGACTCGATGTGTCCCTTTCACATCGATGTTTCTTTCTCTCTCCCTCCCACTCTATCTGAACAAAAAATGGGAAAATGTCCTTGGGTGAGGGTAAAAAAAAAAAGAATAAGGTTGTCTGGAACATAAAGATAGTAGCAAATTACACCTACTGAATTACTTTTTTTTTTTTAATCCTCACCCAAGGATATTTTTCTCTTTGTCATCAGATAGAGTGGGAGGGGGGAGAAATTGCTTCCCGAACCACAACAGAGGTACACGCCCTAGACCAGAATCAAACCTAAGACTCTTTGGTCCACGGGCCGACACTCTAACCACTGAGCCAAACTGGCCAGGGCTGTACCTACTGAATTAAAGTACAATCATGCCTCTCATATTTTTCTTCATTAAACGGTCATTAATGCACAGAAGAAAGCTAAAGTTTGAAAGTTTAAAAACTATTTCAACATCCATGTCTACATCTCTAGCTAATTTGGAATATGCCACAGACCAAAAAGGGAGGGGGGGAGCACTGTTAAAATATTTAAGAATGACATTTAAGTAAGTAAAATGTAAGTAAAATAATCACAGATTTGAACTATATAACTGTATTTTGAAATTTTTAAAAAATCAAACAATGGTGTTACACTACATTATCTCTAAGGTTCTTTGCAACACTAAATTTCTCATGATTCTGTGAATTTCAAATGAAGGGTTACTGAGAAGGCACGTTATTCCTTAGCAGATAATCTTACAGCACCATCTTCTGGTATAATATTACTGTGCATAGAAAAGGAAGAAAACTCAGTTTTACACTTTACCTAGTAAAATTAATAGTACGTAAAATTTTAAGATTCAAGATAGATTAACAAATTGGGTAACAAGAAAAAGATATTTACTGTTAAGCAAGAACACAGGTCACACCAGCCTCATTAATACATTCAATTGTAGGAGACAAAGGTAAAATGAAATCAAGATTGCAGAAAGGTTCAGAAAATGGTAAAGTTTTCTTTTTTAAAAACCTTAGATTTACTAGATATATAGAAGATAAATTGTCTGTACTAAGATTGAAATGTCAGGATATAGGTAATGATGGCTACAAGCATTTCTGCTTTCTATACCAAAAATAAGAGGAGCAACTCTAAATGAGGCAAGATTTAAATCAGACATGTAGAAAGGAGTAAGAAATGATGTAAATTCTGTTTCACCAGAAGCTAGAAGAATTATCTCACAAATATATATATACAAACATACATATATAGTAATATCATATAAGACTTACTATCTCTTACCCTGGCCAGTTTGGCTCAGTGGTTAGAGCATCGGCCTGTGGTCCAGAGAGGCCCGGGTTCAGTTCCCACTAAGGGCATGTACCTCGGTTGCAGTTCGTCCCCAGCCCTGAATGGGTCATGCAGGTGGCAACCACTCGACGTGTCCCTTTCACGTCAATGTTTCTCTCTCCCCCACTCTATCTGAACAAAAAATGGAAAAATGTCCTCTGGTGAGGATAAAAAAAAAAAAAGACTTACTATCTCTAATGTTTACTTCAATCCTAACTAGATGTAAAGGGATAAACAGTTAGTCTATATGGGTGTTTCAGAAGTTACTGTTTTTAGCTGACATTTAAGTGCTTACTGTGTGGCATGCTCTGTACATTTACTATGTGTTAGTCACTTTCTAACTAATTTCATCCTCACAAAAGCCTGTGACATAGGTACTGTCTACCTTGTCATCCTCATTTCACAGATGAGAAAACTAAACCCCACAGATGTTCAAAACTTACCAAAGGTCCTAGAGTTTGAACCAAGCCAGCAGGCTCCACAGTCTTAATCTATTAACTGCAATCCTGTGTTCCCCCAAGATGGCTCATACTTTATATTCAAGTATTCTGCAGAGGCACAACTATAAAATAACAGCTCCTGCCTGGAATAAAAATCTAGGAAGATGTTTGCTACAGTGCGTCAGTTCACTTCACTGTATTGCATCTTGTTTGAGCTACTGCAATGCTCTAATAAACAGAATACTAAGAACACTCATTTCTACAAATATTTTAGATAAATGGGAAAACACTGAGTAGTTCAATTTAGTTTTTAATAAAGCAAAATTAAATCAGAAACTAAATAATTTGGAGGGAAAATAAAGAGACGTTAACCTACTACTTGAATCAGCAACTTACCTTGAAATATTTCCTTCTCATTCTAGTCATGTTCATCAGCATAACTCCAGAGTTTACTCCAGTTTTTCCATAGTAGGGATGTCTAGCAAAGCGATTATACCATCCTATTCGAGGCTCTTCATGTTCTGGTGCCATTGCAGCAATTTGTGTGGAATTAAATTTCTTTAGCAAAGACCAAATGTCATCAACAGGCCGCAAAAAAAGGATATCAGTGTCGACATACAATAGTGAGTCAACTTCTTTCAGGATTAACTATAAGGAGAGACATTTGAATCATGAACTTTAATTCTATTTACTTACTATAAAATATAAAAGAGGCTTTCATTATAAAAAAAATACCTAAGAGATAAGCTAATTTACATTAACTTTTTAAAATAGAGTAATTCTTCCTCAATCTGACATTTTTTTACAACAGTATATATGTAGATACTATGCTAATCTTTAGATTAACTTTTAAAGACAAACAGCTACAAAAACAAATCAGAACAAAAACTAACAATAAGAATAAATAAAATAAAAGCAATATGCTCCAAAATTAGGGATAAAATCTTAATTAAAAAACATTAACTTAGGTGAATTTCTATCTCAAATCTTAATTTCTTGAGATAAGTACAGAAATAAAATAATACAAAAGATCTGAACTTGTTTCACTAATAAAGACAAGACTTGTCTTGGAAGAAAGATTAGCTATGCTGTTACTGTCTGAGCAATATTAAAATCTCCAACATGTCTTCTACAGGGATTTTCAAGGGTAATTTTTTTTTTTATTTCTGCCTTACTCATGAACTTTAGAATCTGACTCCTGCAAATTTAAATGTATTGCCTATCCCAGTGTATTAGTAATACTCAATAATTAGGTTAAGCTAAACCTTTTTAGTTAAGAATATAATGAGAATAAGAGCTTGATATTCATTCTACTCCTTTTCCAAGATGCTACCTCCTCCTACAGCTAAGGTTGACCAATTACCTTAATGAGCAGCTAGGGGGCTGAAATCACCCACTTCCCTCCACCAGTTTGAAAAAAATCTGATGATTGACTGCAGCACCTGAATAAAACCCCCAATTAAGATTATAGTTATATGTGTCTGTATATCTAACTCTCTTTTGGGAGGAGAATGAGGACAAAAGTTTTTTTGTTTTTTATTTATTTTTATCCTTACCTGAGGACATTTTTTTTTTTTTTTTTTTTGCATTTATCTTCAGATAGAGCAAGAGGGAGAGAGGGAGGAAGAGAGAAAGAGAAACATTGATGTGAGAGAGACACATCGAGTGACTGCCACCCACACGACCCCAACCGGGGCCAGGGACAAACTGCAACCAAGGTACATGCCCTTAGCGGGAACCGAACCCGGGACTCTCCAGTATGCTGGCCAATACTCCAACCGCTGAGCCAAACTGGCCAGGGTGAGGACAATAGTTTTTATATAAACATTCTGCTTCTGTACCATGATACAATGTGCATTTACAGATTACTGGATTGTTGCACACTAGGAAGACACTGCACAAAGCTCCAAGTTCACCGTTGGAGCCACTGCCAGCTGGAGATCACACATAAGGTTTAAGGTTAAATAATAACCACATCAGTGTTTTTCCATGGTTCTTTTTGGGAGAAGTTGGCAGAGCTTACATTAGTTCTTTTCATACATCTATTTTTTTTATTATTTATTTAAATGTTTGTAATGATTTTAGAGAGAGAGAGGAAGAGGGTTGGAGAGAGAGGAAGAGGGTTGGAGAGAGAGAAATATCAATGTGAGAGAGAAACATCGATTGGTTGTCCCTCGTACACACCCCAATCGGGGATTACACCTGCAACCTGGGTAAGTGCTCTGACGGGGAATCGAACCTCACGATCTTTCAGTGCACGGGACAGTGCTCATCAATTGAGCCACACTGGCCAGGACTCATCCATTTTAATAGATGAGAAACTCAATAAAAAAAGTTTATCACTTAGAAAAATAAAACATCAACTTACTAAATTCTAATTTAAAAGATGCAGAAGTAACAGAGTATGAGGACAATTTGACAGGTTTCAAGTATTTTTAGTATTTCAAATTCCATTCAGGAATTTAACAGATTACATCAAATGGTGTGGCTAATTTTATATCACAACATCCAAAATTAAATTTGCAAGTATCCATCAATAGATGAATGGATAAAGTAGTGCTACATTGGATGAAATCTAGAGCAGCAGTTCTCAACCTGTGAGTTGTGACCCCTTTGTGGGTCGAACGACCCTTTCACAGGGGTCGCCTAAGATATAACAGTAGCAAAATTACAGTTATGAAGTAGCCACAAAAATAATTTTATGGTTGGGCACCACCACAACATGAGGAACTGTATTAAACAGTCACGGCATTAGGAAGGTTGAGAAGCACTGATCTAGAGGGTATTATGCTAAGTGAAATATATTAGATAAACACAAATGCAGATGATTTCACTTACATGTGAAATCTAAAAAATAAAATAAGCAGAACAGAAACAGACTCATAGATACAGATAAAATTTTGTTGCCTGCCAGATGATAGAGGGATTAGGGGATGGCTAAAAAAAGGTGAAGTGATTCAGAAGTACAAATTGGCAGTTAGGGAATAGTCAAGGGATATAAAGTTCAGCATAGTGAATAGTTAATACTATTGTAGTAACTACTTATGGTGTCAGATGGGTACTAGATTTATTGGGCGACCACTTCATAAGTTATATAAATATCTAATCATGGGGTTGTACACCTGAAACTAATATAACAGTGTATGTTAAATGTAATTAAAAATTTTTTAAATAAAAAAAATAATGAAACTTAATGCAGAACGGAATATAAATGGCAGTGCTGCCTTCATCACTTACGATTTTTTAGTAACATATTTGTGTTTATTTAATATCATATTTTGCTTGTTTAATATCTGTCTTCTACATCAGACAATAATCTGTATGAAAACAAGAAACCTGTCTGTTCCATTCATTCCTATCTACCTAGCACTTTATTACAGATGTTAGGCAAAAAAAACAGGCACTCAAATTATTAATTTTATGAATGTGGCACTGCAATAATTCAACATTAAAAAGTTTTTAATTTATAAAACCTACATGAAGTATCTAAAACTTCTTAGGCTTTTTTTCCTATGTTAATTCCTTATTTGTGTGCTTCTTACAGTGGAAGTGAAAATGAGAGAGATCCTAGGATTCAAATTTTTTATGCATAGCAACAAAGACACTGGCTAGGCAGACTTAGCTATCAAAATTATAACTTAACTTAAAAGCTTATTGACATCCTAAATTCCATAAACTATATTCTTAATATGCTAAGAATTGCCTTAATCCACTTCGTAACAATTAACTGAAGTTTCTTCCCCATAACTCATATACTCTCCAGAAACTTGTGAGCCTCTTAAATTCAGTATTTCTACTGCCATAACTATTTTAAACATTATAGTGGTCCTAATTTAACTACTGTGATTTTAGAACTGTGGGTGAAACCAATTCAAAATGAAAGAGGTAACCTTGCTTCTGAATATTTTTAGATTAAAAAATAATAATAATACTCAGGCTTTATCACCAAAGAACAGCCCCACTGAATAAATGGTTTCCATGTCCCTTTGAGTTCACATACCTTAATTTCTGTGTGTGTTAAAATATGAGTTAGAGAAGGTAAAGTGACTTGGTATAAGACAAAAGTGGTTCCTTAATGATTCAATCTACTTCATTTCCCAAATTATAAATAAAGTCTGCAACCTGAAACAGATCCTACCACTGTACTTCTGCTGGAGCAGCCTGAGCTCCGTGAAAATCTGATGACCTCGATTTCTTCTTAGAGATATAACAGTTTATAGAACCAAATAAATTAAATGTAAGAAATAGTATTTTCATAGAAATTACTTACACTTTTCATTTTAACAGAGGTATTTATTATATAGCTTTTATTTGCTCTATGGGACTTTTTTTTCTTATGTTTTTGTTCAAAGGGAAAGTCATATGTGTGTGTGTGTGTTTTTTTAAATTATTTAAATGCAAGTCTTCATTAACTCATGTGTGTAAAAGCAAATAAAAAACAACACTGGGGAAAAAACTTACTGGCAAGAACAATCTCTGGGAAGCACATGGTTTAAAGAGCTTTTTCCACTCTGCTGCATTCTCACTTGGAAAAGTTATTGGGTATAATGAATAATTAAATGTTTGTAGAAATGACCAGCTGTTGAGCTAAAAAATATTAAAAAAATAAGAACTCAGTTTAATTTTGTTTCACTTTCAATTTTCACACACCAACTGATTATTTTTTAAAAAGCTAAAAATTAAGGTATTACACATTTTATGTTGTACACAGTTGAGACAAAGTCAGAGTCTTCTTTCTCACCATTTTTGTTTTCATTCAAAATCTTAAAATCATAGTGATATGCTACAAAGACTCCACCACAAAGATAAGGGGCACAATAAATAAAAGTTATAATAAATCAATCACAAAATCAAAGTTGAAAGAGCCTTACAAGTTGCTCATCTCCCTCAACTTTACCTGATAAATAAATCTTATCAATCCCTACACAATTAAACTCAGAAAAACTAAGCACTAATTTTATTACCACAGTATGTATAATAGAAAATGCTTACATTCAGCCCGGCCAGTGTGACTCAATAGTTGATCACCCACCCATGCACCAAGAGGTCACCAGTTCGATTCCTGGTCAGGGCACATGCCCAGGTTGTGGGCCCAGACCCCAGTAGGGAGCATGCAGGAGGCGGCCAATCAATGTTCTCTCTCATCGATGTTCCTATCTCTCTCTCCCTTTACTTTCCTCTCTCTCTAAAAATCAATAAAAAAGAAAAAAAAAATGTTTACATTCAAAGACAGACCTATATGAAACTAATTAGAAAATATTTGTCTACTTATGTGCTTTTAATATGCATAGATATTTCTGATAATAAAATATTCTGATAAATACATATACAATGCCAACTTCTAAAAAATCATTACAAAAAGCAAAACAGATTAAAAAATCTATAATGAACACACTTACTCTTTATCATCCTGAATGCATTTCAAGACACTGAACTGTTACAAATTTAGTTTAAGTATTACCTATCATTGTTGCTTCAACAAAATTGTTGATTCAAATTTCCTACAGATCATTCAAAATTTATGAGGAGGGGAGGGGAAACTAAGTAGTTTATGTAACAGGCTGAAGATGTTCTCTTTTTGAATGATGATTGTGTTCTAGTAATATTTTTTTTAAATGCTCACCAGAGGACTTGTTTATTTAATTGATTTGAGAGAGAGAGAGGAAGGGAAAGAGAGAAAAAAAATCTATGTGAGAGAGAAACATTAATCGGTTGCTTCATGTACACGTCCTGACCAGAAATTGAACCCACAACCTAGGTATGTGCCCTGACCAGGAATCGAACTTGCAAACTTTTTGCTGTACAGAACAAAGCTCAACCAACTGAGCCACCTGGCCAGGGCTCAAGTAATTTTTTTAAAATATGTTTTTATTGTTTTCTTGGTTTTTTTTTTTTTTTAGAGAGACAGGAAGGAGAAAGATAAAAACATCAACATAAGAGAGAAACATCAATCAGCTGCCTCCCGCATGCCCCATCACCAGGGATTGAGCCCAAAGTCCAGGCATTGGCCCTAACCAGGAATCAAACTGGGACCTCTCAATTCATGGCACGATGCTCAATCCACTGAGCCACACTGGCCGGGCTCAAGTAACTTCTTAAAATAATGCCTTCCAACATAGTTTTACAGAAATATCTTTACTTCCAACACTCTACTTTGATGTCTCTCTTAATTAGTTTAAAATGCTAGCATTTTATTTTCCCTGAGCAACCTATATGGATCCTTTCAATACCAACTTCAAAATGAAAACTTGGTCTTTTTTATTTAACATTCTAACATTTAGTCTTCTTTTCTGCAGTAAAAACATGTTCCACAAAATATTTGATAGTTTTCATCAAAAGCAAAACCAAATATTCTCAAGATCTGACTACAATAATTTAAAAAAACCTAAATTTTAAATATAGTATGTGTTACACAAGCAATAACTCAGATCTGAACACAATGAAAAAGCTACATCTAAAATGAAGCAATAGCCCGGCCAGTGTGGCTCAGTGGACTGAACATCATCCCATGGACTGAGAGGTCCCAGGGCACCTGCCTGGGTAGTGGGTTTGATCCCCAGTAGAGGGTATGCAGGAGGCAGCTGATGGATGTTTCTTTCTCACACAGCTGTTTCTACCTCTCTCTCCCTTCCTTTCTCTCTAAAAAATCAATAAAAACATATTTTAAAAAATAAATAAAATGAAGCAATAAGTTTATTTTACTTTTTTGTTTTTTAATCCTCACCCAAGGATATTTTTCCATTTAGCTTCAGACAGAGTGGAAGGGGGAGGGGGGAAGAGAGAGAGAAACATCAATGTAAGAGAGACATACCAGCTGGGTGCCTCCCACATGACCCAAACCAGGGCCAAGGACCGAACTGCAACCAAAGTACAGGCCCCTTAACTGGAATCAAACCCATGACTCTTTGGTCTGCAGGCTGACGCTCTAACTGCTGAGCCAAAGTGGCCAGGGCTATTCTACTATTTTTTATGTTTGTATTGATTTTAGAGAAAAAGGAAGAGGGGGTGTGGGGCGAGAAACAAAATGTGAATGGGACACAAGTGGCTGCCTCCTGCCGGTACCCCAACTGGGGCCTGAGATCAAACCTGCTACTCAGGTACACTCCCTTGCCAGAGAATCAACCCCACAACCCTCAGCGCGCAGGACAACACTCTAATCACTCAGTCACACCAGCCAGGGCTCCATCTTGTTTAAGCCACTGTTACTTTGGGGTTTTTTGGGTTTTTTTTGGTATTATAGCCAAATTGATTATAACTAATACAAAACCAAAATAAAGAAAATTTTTATCAGAGCAAGAAGCCACTTCCCTCCCTACTGTCAATCAAGAGTTTCCTCTCCTCAAAACAGAATTAAACCTTTGTGCAACAATGACTGAGGCACTCCCCAAGCCAAGGATAAGAATGAAATTAAATCACAGGACTTCTCAGGCAAACACCCTGGAACTATACTCAGTAAATTAAACTTCCTTGATTGGCAAAGGACTTTAAGTAGCCCACTCCTTTTCAAAAACAAACCTTCCTCTTACACCCTAGATCTGGAATCTTAGATGGAAGTGGGAGCAGGGAACATTTCCCTCTCTGGCAAGCCAGAGTTACAGAATACATATTTTTGTTCATTGAAGGAGTAAAACAACGTTCTATCATAGTATACCATTAAATAGTCAACTCTACAGACTTAAGTCTCAGATACTTACTATGCTTTTAAAACTATCATGTAGTTGATCTTCAGCAAAAATATGGAACTGAAGCGGTGTGATGCTGAAAATGATCGCTGACTTCAACATGGTTATAGTTTCTTCCAGTCTTTCACCACAGGCAACTACAGCTAGGTGCATTCTCTCAACGGGCTGTATTTTCAGACTATACCTAAGAGAAAAGAAAACCACATTTTCAGTTTTAGTATAGGGTTAACATGTTAACAACATGGCATTTTGACCATGTTCAAAAACTGAAGTTGGAAAATTCTATTTAAAACAAAGAAGCTCGGCTGGTTTGGCTCTGCGGCCAGAGTGTCGGCACCCGCAGGCCAAAGGGTCTAGGGTTCGATTCCCGGTCAGGTGCACATACCTGGGTTGCAGATTCGATCCCCAGCCCCAATTGGGGTCATGTGGGAGGCAACCAATCAATGTGTCTCTTTCACATCAATATTTCTGTCTCTCCCTGACCCACCCCTCTCGCTTTCACTCTCTCTAAAAATTAATGTAAAAAATATCTTCGAGTGAGGATTAACAAAAAATAAATAATTAAATAAAACTAAAAAGCAAAGAAACATCAAATTACAAAACAATACAATGCTGAATCAATCATATATTTCTATACCCTCAATCGGCCTTTCTTGGCTAACGTTACTCACTAGGAACCATAAAACATAAAGTAAAATAAAAAACTACTTTGTCAAATCTCCCAAGAGTGGTATATAACACCATTCTAGATGGACATGAGAGCCCTGGCCGGTTTGGCTCAGCGGTTAGAGCGTTGGCCTGTGGTCCGGAGAGACCCGGGTTCGGTTCCCGCTAAGGGCACATACCTTGGTTGCAGTTTGTCCCCAGCCCTGGTTGGGTCGTGTGGGTGGCAACCACTCGATGTGTCGCTCTCACGTCGATGTTTCTCTCTCTCTCTCTCCCTCTCACTCTATCTGAACAAAATATCAAAAAATGTCCTCGGGTGAGGATAAAAAAAAATAGATGGACATGAGAGAAGTTAATTCATTACTTAAATTGGATGCCTTAGGGCATTACTGCTTAATTCTCTCAAGGAAACCCCAACCGAGAAAAGGAGCATCACCAATTTGAAGATCTTCCATTCAATTTTTAAAGCTTTATTATTATTATATATTTTTTAATCTCAAACACACATAACAGTAGAGAGAATACAACAAAAGATCCCCAATGTACCCATCTCCCAGCTGTAACAATTATTCATTCAAAATTATTATTTCATCTAAAACCTCTGCCCACATCTCCTTTCACTAACCAATGAATCATTTTAAGGCAAACACAGACATAAATTCACCCATAAATATTTCAATATTAGCCCGGCCAGTGTGGCTCACTGGCTGAGCGTCAACCCATGTACCAGAGGTCACCAGTTCGATTTCCAGGCAGGGCACTTGCCCAGATTGTGGGCCCAATCCCCAGTGGGGGGCATGCAGGAGGCGGCCAATCGCTGTTTCTATCTCTCTCTCCCTCTCCCTTCTTCTCTCTCTAGAATCAAAGAAAATTTAAAAAAAAAAATTAGTATTATATCCAATCTTCACCATGCTGATTATAAGAAAACCTTCCTTCACGTAACTTTTCTCACTGACATACATTCAATCCCATTTACCAAGTAATCAGTGAGTAGTAAAAATTTCTGAGGTGGTCTAAAGTATGCAAGTCAAACAGTAGTATTATATCTTGGAAGAAAAGATTCCCTAAACCCAAGTTATTGGCATAGGCTTATGTAGACCCTGCTTAGAACATGGAGCAGCAGTAAACCGTGCCAGGCCTACTTCAAACCTCCTGCACCTTAGCACTGAACTGGAAATAATCTACCAGTACCTAAAGAATGGAACTAATTACATGTAACTATACCATTATTAAATATTTATAATATAAAGATCCCATCTGTAATTATGATGTAAAACAATCTTTTGAAACTGAAAGCTAAAGTAATAGAAGAATGAAAGACAGCCCAGACGGTGGGGCTCAGTGGATTGAGCATTGCCCCATGGACTAAGAGGTCCCGGTTCGATTCCAGTCAGGACTCATGCCTGCATTGCAGGCTCGATCCCCAGTAGGGAGCGTGCAGGAGGCACCTGCTTGATGTTTCTCTCTCTAAAAAAAAAAAAAAAATCAGTAAAAACGTATTTAAAAAAAAGAAAAAAAGAATGGAAGACAACAGAAAACAAAACAAGTAACACATTCAAGTATTAAAGTACAAACATTCCAAACTAAAAATGTACAAATTTGACTTTAACTCAATTTTTGCTTACAGAGATATTGCCTGTAAAATGTATAAGAGTTAGAAATTACAGCCCCACCGGTGTGGCTCACTGGTTGAGCATCGACCCATGCACCAAGGAGGTCACCAGTTTGATTCCTGGTCAGGGCACATGCCCGGGTTGTGGGCCCAGTCCCCAGTTGGGGGAATGCAGGAGGCAGCCAATCGATGTTCTCTCTTTATGTTTTTGCTTTAATTTGTTTTTTCTTTATTGATTTTAGAGAAAGAGGAAGGAAGAGGGAGACAGAGATAGAAACATCAATGAGAAAGAACACTAATTGGCTGCCCCCTGCATGCCCCCCACTGGGGATTTGGCCCACAACCTGGGCATGTGCGCTGACCAGAAATAGAACCAGTGAACTCTTGGTAAATGGGTCAACGTTCAACCACTGAGCCACACCATTTGGGCTCGATGTTCTCTCTTATCGAGGTCCCCCCCCCCACACCGCCTTCCTCTCTCTCTCTAGAACCAATAAAGAAAAAATATTTTTTTAAAAAAAGAATTAGACATTAGAGCATTTAACATTACTAGTTATATGTATACATAACTGAGATTTGCTACAGCGAGGATTGGTAATTAACCATTTCTCTTACATTTACAAGCTAAAATTACTGTAGTTATATTCCTTAGCATAGGACTTTAGAATCCTGAAGAATTCATACTGATAGGGGAAGGGCATGAAGTAAGAACAGAACCTGTTTAATGATTATTCACCTTACTAACTACAGATAAGAGGTTTTCTTACCGACCCTGGGAAACTGGAAGATGTGTTGCAAAAAGAAAAACAGAGCTGTAAAAAGATAAGAGACACCTTGGAGCCCAGATGGGTCCATTACTAAGAAAAGAAAAAAAAAATAATACATTTTGAGAACAGACCAAAGACAGGACACACTTTGACTTGGTTGCTGTGCCTGGACCCTGGCCCCCTCCAGGAGTTTGCCTTGGGAATGTTGACCATTCTCTGGTCCCAGGAATGGACAGAACTATCTTTAATATCACAGAAAATTAACTACCTTTTTATCAGACTTCACGATCCTGAAAGGAAACACTCGGACCACGTACCCTGCAGCCCTTATCATGCCCTCCTTCCCCCTTGCGTGCAGCCCTTCTTCCTTATTGCTATATAACCAGCAGGCTAATAGATGTTAGAGCAGAATTTCCAGGATGACCTGCTGCTCTCTCCATACTGCCAGCCTTATTGGAATAAACACTCATATATGATTCAACCACGTGTGCTTAATTTGGCTCAAGTAGTGACAGGTGACCTAGGACCCATTTTGTGTCTGGTTTCAATATGTCCCCATGTTAGAGTGGTCCCAGAACTGTATTCTGAGGAAAAGCTTGATTTTGCTCATGGATAGTCGCTCAGCTGACCAAGATATCAGAAAACAGAAAATCATACTAAATGATATTAAATACAAACAACTGACTATATAAAACATACTTGAATATCAAATGCACACATCTTAATGTTGTGACATTGAACATTTTGGAATTTTTCACAGTAGTAAAATAGTCTGAATCCTGCTTTTATTGTGATCTATTCCTTTCTACTAACAAGCTTGTTTTGCTAAGGGCCTGGAGATCTTTAACACAGCAATGAAAACTGCTGCTTTTGCCCTAGATGGTTTGATTCAGCAGTTAGAGCATCAGCTTGTGGACCAAAAGGTTGTGGGTTTGATTCCTGGTCAAGGGCTTGTACCTGGGTTGCAGGTTCAATCCCTGGCCCTGGTCAGGGTCATGTGGGAGGCAACCAACCAATGTGTCTCTCTCACATTGATGTTTCTTTCTCCCACTCTCTCTAAAAAGCAATGGAAAAATATCCTCAGGTGAGAATTAAAAAAAACAAAAACTGCTGCGTTTCTTTTCTGGTATGCCTGGGTTTCTTAGGCCTGAAAACTGGTTCATTTCTCTGACACTGGGATACCTCACATACACAGTTACTGGTAACTGACTCTCAACCTTCATTCTACAGAGGAACAGAAAAGCTCTTAAGCCAAATTATCATCTCCTAGACAACACAGGGATCATTTCCTTCCCAGATCCCTTTCACAGGAGACTGAAACTTAGAACTTCTCAGTGCCGTGGTAACTAGTCTTTTGTTTAGGCTAATGGCCAATTATTCTATAGATGATGTTCTTTAAAAATATATTTTTAAGGAAAAAACAACCTCTCCCATATAATTCATTAAGTTAAATATTATTTAAATGGTGTTAAATGGAGAAGTTACATATAAAATGGTGTTTTGTTTTTTTATTATTTTTTAATCCTCATCCAAGGATATGCTTATTGATTTTAGAGAGGGAAGGAAAAATATCCATGTGTGAGAGAAATACTGACTGACTGCTGACGGGGGATCAAACCCGCAACTGGGTATGTGCACTGACCAGGAATCAAACTCGCAACCTTTCCGTGTATGGGACAAAGCCCCAGCCAACTAAGCCACCCCAACCAGGACTAAAATGGTGTTCTTGCAAGAATTATTTTTACTATTCCAGAAGCAGTGGTGATCTTCATTAAGACGTAATATTAGATACATACTTTGCTTTTAAAATTTAGATTAATCGACTTCCGGTCAAGATGGCGGGTAGGTAAACGCGGTATCGCGTGCTCCCACAACCACATCAAAGTTACAACTAAACTTCAGAACAACCATCATTCAAAACCGCCTGAAATCAAGCTGAATGGAAGTCGTATAACTACGGAATTAAAAAAAAAAAGCAGCTACATCCAGACTGGTAGGAGGGGCGAGGTGCGAGGGGTGGCAGCGGCGCAGCGCGACGGGCTGGTCCCACACCCACGTGTGGCGGATAAAAATCAGGAGGCTCCCGCAGCTGGGAAGGTCCTTCCTGAGGACTGAGGGGTCCCTGTCCCACACCAGGTG